TTCCAACAATGGCTTTTATGTCATGCCGCTTAGAACAAGAGTATAACCTAATATTGTTGTTAGTGTATGTACTGAAAGTATAAAATGAAATATATAGGCTACAAAACTGGAAAAATGTTTGTTGATTTCTTAATTTAGAGTCTCCGTTCATTAAAGAGGTTTTTTATATTAAAATCTTTGGTGATATAACAGTAAATAGCTTAATTCAGAAACGATTTAAGTTAAAAATTGAATCGATATTTTTACTTTCATGATAAAGTTTATGCATTTGGCTCTAGGCTAGGTGATCCCACACTACGTCTTTACTTTAGGCTTATTATACCAACACCAACTACACTTTTAAGGTTTCACGGCACACACACCCTTCTCACAGCCCTCTTGCACCCCTGTCACTAAAATCATAATGGGAAGACAGTCATCAAAGGAAATCAACGCTAAATCTTCTGATGATGTGGTATTTATGAAAGAAATGATACATTGATATATGAGAAGTTCATTTCTAAACCAAAGATAAATCTGTACATTAGACTGAAGGAAAGAGAAAGCACTACTTTAAGAAAAAATGATCGTGTTGTATGTAGCTAGTCCAAAAATATCCTGACACACATCTCAGAACTCCTTTCCCAAAATAACGAAAAATATAATAAGAAATCTGATGCTGAAAATCTTTTAGACTTGACAGTCTAGATATAAAAGATTCTATCTAATAAATTTGGTGGGCATTATTCCTTGGAAAATTACCTAAATTGAATAAGATGTTGAAACACAAGTCACTATGTTACAATTTGTAAACAAGAGCAAGCATTTCAATGAAATATTCTAGCGATCTATTAAATAATCAAAATAAATGGTAATGGTGCCAAAAAAAGACGCGTATTCGTGACTACAGTCAACATAAGATTAACCAATACTTACAATGAGAAGGTTAAAACGTTGTTCTGTAAATTTTACTAAAATGAGAGAGTTGGATTAGTGAACTTTATGGGCGTAATTGAACTAAAATGAATAAAATAACCTCATTTTTGCCAAACGTTTGCTTTTTTCATGAAGTCAGTAGAGGTATAATAAGATATTTGTGTCACATACCTAAAATCTTCAGCCATTATTGTCCAGCTAGATGTTATCTCCATTGACGTGGAAATGTGTGCATGGTGACTATAATATTTTTAATCAATAGATAAATGAAGACCAATATTTTATTGAAAGTAGCAATGCAACACGATTGCCTAGATACATCTTGAACATTTTCGCGATATGTGATGAAGAAATCTCGTTGTTAACAGAACAGACTATATTGATTGAAGTTTGAAATGTTTAATGAAGTTTAATGGTGCGATGATTTTTTTGATACGAAAATTGCAGTCTCATGTTAAGGGAGTTAATGACACTGACTATGAATCTCAGAGGTATTTCTGCCTTATGTACCTTTAGTAGGTCGTATGAAGGGGTTGGCAACTTGCAGTCTTGAAGATTTTGGTTTCTTCTGGAAATAGTTATTTTTTATAGTTTGTTAAGGATGTTGTTGGGGGCGGTGTCATTAAGTATTTTTTGATATTTTCTGGCTTTTAAAATATTTTGGAGTTTGTTGTTAATATTGTTTGCTAAGAATAACCTTTGTGTTTCCTTTGTCTGCTGAGACAATGATGATTGAATTATTGTTTACAGCTGGTTTAGGGTTTGTCTTTATTTCATTGTGAGGTTGGAACGTGGAAGCTTGTTTTTTGAAAGAGGTTGTAGGTTAAGACAAGAAATCTGATTTATTGTTTAAATTGTAGTTTTATGATTGCATTTCTTATGGCAGTTACTAATTCCAAAACATGAATGGATTTCTAGGTAATTACACACTTTCGGCCTAAGGATAATGTTACGTATTAGAATTGCAAATAGCCGGAAATTGAGTTAACTGATAATTGAAATTTAATAGTTAAATTGTATTTTGGATTTAGTATTTAAATATATGCCGATATATCTCCAATTTATGATATTTGCCAACAAGATTGATACACACA